GGACAAAGCTTCCCATCCCCCCTGAATTCTGGAGACAACCATCATCACAAAACGTCAATCTCGATCTCTTCTCTGCGGATGAGCTGATGAAGATTTTCGTCTTCGTCAGTGCCGCAGCAAGCCCGAACAGATCCAAGTGCTCGGTAAGTTTATTATTCAATATGGTGTCTAAACCGATAACTGTCGTCCCATGAAACGCGTGATCTGTAAGGGCAAACAGACTCGAGCTTGCTGACATCCTCCGCAAGCATAGTATCGACGTGGGCCTCCTAACAGAGACCCATCTTAAATCCGGTGACAGCTTTTGGTTGCCTGATCACCACATTATCCGGCTTGATCGTATCGACTCCAGGGGTGGTGGTGTTGCGATCATCATCAAGAAAGGAATCAAGTTCTGCACGCTGCCGCATATCCGCACTTCTATCATCGAGGCCCTTAGTGTGGAGGTGGAATCACCAACCGGATACGTCCGGTTCATCGCCGTATACTGTCCTCGTCAGTGTGCTGCCAGTAATGGATTAGGCATCCAATTTAAAAATGATCTGACCACCATCACTCGCACGAGCTCACGATTCGTCATTGGGGGTGATTTAAATGACCGTCACGAAGCATGGCGGAACTATCAGCGGAATCAGAATGGACGTCTGCTCTTCGACCACTCGCAGCTTGGGCTGTATACAGTCCAATTTCCGGATGAACCGACATTCATCTCTCCGGCGGGAAACCTTTCCACGTTGGACTTTTTTCTATCGAACTTTGGACTATCCAAACCGATGGCGATCAACGATCTCAGCTCCGACCACCAACCGGTGGTGGCTGAAGTCGGCACCCACGTGACACCTGCTCAAAGCCTGCGCAAAGACTACCATCATGACAACTGGGTGCAGTTTGGGCATGTGGTTGACAAAAACATCGATGAAAATCCGCCGCTTGACACCGTAGAGGACATCGCTGAAATATTCAAAGAATATGAAGGCCCCCGGTTTTGACGGCGTATTTAACTTAATCATAAAAAGGCTTAGCATGACAGTCTATGCAGTTTTAACTGCCATCTTCAACAGATGCTTGGAGCTGCACTACTTTCCAAGCATCTGGAAAATAGCAAAAATAATACCGATCCGCAAACCTGGTAAAGATCCAGCATTGCCGTCAAGCTACAGACCGATCAGCCTCCTCTCAGCGCTGAGCAAATTGTTCGAGAAACTCATTCTCAATAGATTGCTCAAGTTTGTGGAGGAAAACAATATTCTCCTACCGGAACAGTTTGGGTTCAGGAAGGGGCACTCCACTACTCATCAACTAGTACGGGTGATGAACAATATTCGAAGTAACAAGGCTGTATCCAAGTCCACAGCCATGGCCTTGCTAGACGTCGAAAAGGCGTTTGACAATATCTGGCATGACGGACTTATATACAAGTTTTGTAACTTCAATTTACCGTTGCATTTGGTCAAAATTACCCGTAACTACCTTCAGCAAAGGTCGTTCAAGGTATCGTTGAATGGTTGTCTCTCCGACAAATTTTCCATCCCGGCAGGCATTCCGCAAGGCAGTTTGTTGGGCCCCTTGCTCTACAGCTTATTTACTTCTGACATTCCTCCCCTCTGAGACGGTTGCGTGTTCTTCCTGTTCGCAGATGATACCGCGATATCAGTCAAGGGCAGAATGCCTCGCGAAATTACAAACAAACTACAACGATGCCTTGACACCTTTGCTGACTATGCAAAAACTTGGAAAATCAAAATCAATGCCTTCAAAACCCAAACTATCATGTTCCGGCATAGGCAATCACCCAAACTGATACCGGCACCTTCTTGCACAGTAGTCATGGTCCATAGATGGTACAAGGGTTGAGTGGTCTGCTGAAGTTACGTACCTTGGAATGGTATTCGATGAGAAGCTCCTGTCTCGCTCGCATATAGAAAAGACGTTAATTAAGTGTTCAAGCTTAGTTAGGTGTCTGTATCCGCTGATTTCTCGCAGATCCCGCCTCTCTAGGGTTAACAAACTGGCGGTTTACAAACAAATCATAGTACCTGCAATTTTCTACGCTGCACCGGTGTGGGAATCAAGTGCTCAAACTCACAGGAACAAAGTCCAGGTGGCACAAAACAGAGTGCTTAGGATGATCCTCGGTTGTCCTTTCGACACTAGAATAACAAATTTAAACGAAGAGGCAGACATTCCAAAAATAGATTCCAGAATTAACGAAATTAAGACTCAATTTGCACAAAAATGCAATCTATCAGAACATTTTTTGATAAGCAATTTGTATATAGTAGGCTAGGTGTATATAGTAGTTGTAGTTGTTAATAGTAGTTATAAGTAGTTTTCCCTTTTCCAATTTAAAACAAACCAATCCCACCTAGGTGGCCATTCTTAAAAACAGGCCTGATAGGACTAGGAATTTTAAATAATAATTAAAAATTTCAAAATGAACTAAAGTTGAAAGACGCATCTGTGTCACTTGTTAATTCATACATGTAAAACCACACAAATACCAGAAATAAAGATCATTTAAAGTAAGTAAAAAATGTTTAGTAGTGACAGATACTCTATTTTATAATCTGTGAAAGGGAAATCACAAAGCGAGTATCAACAAAATACATGGCATGTTGAGAGATTGAGGTCGTGAGAGAAAATTCTTTCTCTCAAATTTGAATTTTTTGGCTCTCTGAGAACTGGTAGTAAAGCAGGTAAAACACTATTAACAAGGCATAAAAAGTAACAAGGACTAAGATATGTTCCTTTGATTACTGAAAAATCCTGTTCCCCTAGTTTGAAGTAGTCAAGACTAGGAATCGGTGGTAGATCTTACATCCCGTAACGTACCACTAAAAGGTGATCTACCCATGTTACGGGGCAGAGCCTGTTGTAAAGCAGCATGTCATTATGTCGTTTTCGTTGTTATCTGCACTTTTTTTTTTGTATAATGAAAGACCATAGACCAAAATGATTAGGGGTGAACACATCGGATTAACATTTGCTTACAAGTAAACGATGTTGAGCTATCAATGATTCGCGCTTGTTGGCGGCAATTGTTGCTACATATTTCATCAGTCCGTGCTTCTAACCAAAGCCACAGTCATCCGCGCCCGAGAAGACGTCGTTGTTGGATGCCAAACAGCACAGGACCCGGTCATACTCGGTAAATTTTGCAAGCTAACAGCTAGCACGCAGAACTCGTGATGGTACCACATCTTCATTTAGTCGTTGCCGGTAAACTCGAACGTCCAGAACCTACACAAGGCCGAAATTGTCTTACGTACCTGAGTTTCCCACAATGTCAAACAGCCTTCAGTAGCACCCTTAAAGAAAAATATATTAGTAACTCGAGAATAGACAATCAGCAACAGCATACATCGTACTTTGCAAACAAATCTTCTGAGCTCTTCTCATGCTTAGAGTTTCCTTATAGAGCCTGATTACTAAGCCTACTGAAACTAGACCAAGAGGAATTCTCCTGATATTTGTGCAGAATTAATTTTCTTATTTCAGGTCCCATGGTCAATATGTTTAAAACGGGTAGATCAAAGATGATTGTTTAGTAGGTCCAATTGAGGCCAGTAAATGAAATGAAGTAGGATGCTTGATTGTTTTTTTTTTCTCAAAAGTGTGTTTTCTTTTGGATTAGGGACGGATTAGGCGTACAATAAAGGTAACGCGTTAAAACTTCATCCCGGACAAGGCCAAATAATCTTAAAAAGTGGTGAATGTGCAATATTGATAACAATATTGAATATTGAATCATTCATACGAGTGATTTACAGATTGTAAGTATAACATAGCCAAAATATCACTCAATGGGCACGGTTGACAGCAAATCAAGTTAGTCAATTTTTTCCTCGACGAAAAGAGACAGGACCTATTCAAAAAGTAATCGAGAATAATTATTTTGAAAACTTCTGAAATAACAAACATAGACTGTATCGGATATTCTTTGGTGCAAACAATGTAAATATTTACCTTTTTGACAAACCCAGGTAATCATGACGTTTGATTATTGAAAACAATATGAATGAAGGCCGGCGCCGGTGGTGTAGTGGTAAGCGTGACTGCTTTCTAACACCCCGATGGGTCTGGGTTCAATCCCAGCCGAGGTAGGTGGGATTTTTCTGAGGCATAAAAATCTCTGGTCACGTCTCCCTTCGGAAGGGAAGTAAAGCCGTTGGTCCCGGCCCATGTGTGTTGAATGGGTGCGATATCCTACGCAGGTGTGGAAGCTGCCTTCCTGCACATTCGATTGCCGTCAATGGATGGCAATCGATGTCCGTCGGTGATTGGCACTAGATTGCGGAACAGAGACCGACGTTAAATAAAGGAAAGAAGAAAGAATATGAATGAAGAAAATATGTAGACCAACTGCTGTCATGATTACCTGAGATTTGTCAAATAATGTAAATATTTGCATCGATTGCATCGATTGCATCGAAGAATACGATATAAAGCTGTCCACGAGACAGTTGCAATCAGCTGACTTTTTTGTTTACCAAGAACTTTTGACAGATCACAGTAGAACTGACAGTTCACTCTCATATGAAGTGATGTTACGGGACGCCACTGACATAAACTAAAGAGTTCTGATTTATTAACATGAAAAGTAGTGTTTAAAGTTATTGAAAACACAACAATTCTCAAATCACCTCACCTCAGTCCATGCATGCTTAAAACAGTCAATCGCAACCCTGATGCATACGCACTGTATTTCCATTTCTACGCGTTCCATTCCCGGTTTGTTTACCCTTTTCATCCGATGCTATATTTTATTTTTATATATTCGGAGGAAAGTAGAGGAAAACACCTCGCGGTTCAAAACCTTATCTTACCACGCTATCTCTCCATATACCTAGGTGCTATGCTCTAGCGCTGATAAGCTGGAGAATTGATACCTCGCCTCTCCCAGTATCGTTTAGTTATGCGTAAGGCGAATCACTACCATTCCCTTTTAGTGCAGTCATAGGTAGCAGTTCCACTTGTTGGTGCGGTTCTGAGATAGGTGTCAGGTGTAGTTTTGTAATATTTTAAACACATGAAATCTTAACAGTTGATTTTCACTATTAAACGGTTGAACATCGAGAACTAGCAGTGTGTCATATTTCTAGAAATTCAAAACTCGACTGTGCCATATTGTCTATATCCGACATGACTCACCTTGGATACGCCGTTATCTGAACCGTCCCCGCGAGATTGTGCATTGAGTAAGGTGCCGTGTAATGTTATTCGAGACAATTATTTACATTTAAGACTTAGGTTTCGATATCGATTTGAATTCATAGAACTTGGCTGCCTGTTGTGAACAGAATGGCATCTGTTGTGCTTCTACTAGTCATTGCTGTTTTAGCAACATCGCAGGCGTACAACATTCCACAGGAGTTGATCTATTGTTATCGTGGTAATTTCACGCAGCCCTCGGTGGGTTACAATCAGCAGCTTCTATTGGAGCTGATTCAAAAGGTAGAACAGAACAATCCCACTACGCTGGATATGCGGATGCTCAGTGTGGAGCTGATTCATCGGTAAGTACTGCTGTCTCTTTCTTGTGCATTAAGCGATCTATAGATTAGATACTTTGTTGTTTAGTCTTCGAATCGACGGAATCGAGAAAGCTCCAGGTCTGCAGGAAACCGAATTCGTGACTCCCTACAGTACCCGAGGGATTATGGTGCCGAAGTACAAACTGCTGCTGCAGTTGGTGTCCAACATTCCAGGAACCATTGAATTTGACAAATTTCTCAGTCCTTTGGAAGTTTGCCTGCTTCATCGTTTGCTGAGTAGTGCGGTGGAACCCTATCAGCGCGGTGATGAACGAACTAGCTGTCCAACAACAGTAGCCGACTCCGGGCAAAATCCACAGGCACCGTGGGTAACTCAGAACAAGTTGGTTGACTTCCTGTAAACTAGAAAACAAAAACCGAAATTATTAATTGATGGTCTTTCAAAAGGTCTCAACGTAACCAAACGAGTAGCACAACCTTCGAGCGTCCCATATCGCGTTGCCCTCTAGAAGGTGGCACCTGTCGGAGTGTGCGTTACGGCTCCGTAGCACCCGGAGTACTCGTCATGTCGATAGCAGCTGGATTGCAACCGCAGAACGTCCGAATTAGTGAGTTCATCTCTGCTTACAAGCGGAAGAGCACATATGAAAATCTAGAAACTATGGAACGCATGGATACTAGCAACCAGGTGGAGAAATTGCTTGCTTCCATGGAGTCGATCGACAATATATACGCAACTGGACTAGCGGGAGATCTGGCAGAGGTTTGTCTTTATCAAGGTCCGTATGTGGGTACGGACCTAAGAGTAGGGTTACGGGGAACCTGGAACGACACGTACTTCCCTAGGATACGATTCCTCGCGGAAACACACGAAGGCCGCTGGGAGATGACAGACAGTGAAGTCCTGTCGGGGATCGATGGTTACTTCCTGGCTCAACAGGTTCCCTACTTTGTGAACAAGGTTAGAAGACTTCGGCTTTCGCAGGTGCTAGACATGTATTACAGTGCCCGAGGTATTCCGATTGTATCGATTGAAAATCTAGGAAAACGAAAGCTTCCCAACAGCAGATTAACGTCGAGTGCAAAGTTGTCCAAGAAATCCGAACTCCACGAAGATTCGTTGAATACACTGTTCAATGCCGAGCGGAAGACCAAGTTCTGGAAAGTGTTCAACGAAGACGCAGAGGAAGATCCGCAGGGAGATACACAGAATATTCCCGACGATATCAACCGGGTTTGCTACAGGAAGGAAATCCTTCAGTCCATTGACAAGGATCGCCTAAAGCAAGAGACGTTTAACTTTGTGCAGGTTCTGCAGTATACGACCGGAAGTGTCGTTGTCGAGGACTCGCTCATGCGGAGGAACTGCGATGCGGCAGTCGATCGATTTTTCAGATATGCGAACAATCTATTGGACTCGTTTGAAGATTGCAATGCTGTGGCACCTTCGGGCACACTACCCAACGTAGATTTGCTGCTAGTTATTGACGGATCCAGGAGTGTCTACGAAAACCAGCGAATTATCTAGTAGGTGCCACAAGTTCAGAAATTCTTAATCGCAAAATCAACCCCATTTGCATTTCAGTCACATAGCCGAGTTAATCGAAGTATCCGTCTACGGTTCGTCCTTATCCGTCATCAACGGTCAAACCGGAGAATTTATGGTCAACCGAACCAATAGCTTGTCCAACGTTTTTGAGCAGCTGTCAGCCTTCGAAGGATCTTGTAAGTTTTGTACGCAATCTTTTCCAACTCTAAATAAACTCCCTATTTTTGTCTAGATCCTGCTGGGCTGTCACTGTCCAACAGCTTCGATTCCATCGTTCAACGGTTATCGGCGCAGATAGACGAAGAGCGTGCTTACCGAACGGTTGGTGCCAACTCACCTGTCATCATGGTCATATCCCAGGGTCAACGCGTGGTCAATACAGACTTCATCAGTGCCCGTCGAATGCTGACGAGTACATTCGAACAGTTTCCGGATTTGTACTTTCTTTTCCTGACCAACGATGCGACCACCTTTAACCAGTTGATTGATTTTGTATGTTTCATAACCAACAGCACTTTCTGGAACATCTACTGACCTTTCGTTCTATAACATGCAGACGGGAACATCTCACAGCCGACTGCCCATCGAAGAGCACTACAAAATCATTGAATCCTCTTCCATCGATCCTCAACCGTACAGCGAACTACTGCTGGCCACCCTCAGCGGTATCCCGCAGCGTTTGGTGGCACCGTTCTGCCGGACCGACGCCAATCGCAAGTCCTGGCGAGCGGTCAACGTGCGCGAAGAATACGAACAGTATCTCAGTCCGGGAGTGGAACTGCGCTTCCGAATCAGTCGTAGCTTTCTGCTCAGTACCGGCCACCTTGGGATTCAGTTCCAGAATTCCGCCTACGGAGAGTTTACCGTGTGCGGAACGATGGATCATAGCTTCGCGGGGCTTGCCTGCCAGACTACTACTCCGGAGCAGGACATTGTATGGTTCAACTTTACCGGGTTGTGTTCCGGCGTGCCGGGCATCGCATGTACATCGTTGTACTTCCTGGTGCAGATGGAGACGTCCTACATGAAGTGTGCGGAAAATGATTGCCGCTATCCGGATCAGGTTCGGTTCGTTATCAAACACGATGGGTTGCGGTGTCCGATGGATGGTAGCGGAGCGTGGAGATTCGGGACGACCGGCTGGATTGTTCCAGCCGTGGCAGTATTTTTATTGATTAAGGATGTTTTTGCTAAGTTATATTAAGTTTTACTTCAGTGTGGAATTATAAGATATGTCTATTCGACATCGACATCATATCAGAAGATTGTGTTTACTTAGAGGGAAAAACCTTGCTTTTTTGTGCGTGTCATATTCATCATGTCAAAATATGATTAAATTCCAAAATATGCGCGTTTATGGAGCAGATAGCTAGCCAGCCCAACAATTAATTTTGGTTTTATGAGAGTTGTGTAGACAATGATTAAGACTCGCAGAATGCTGTAAAACCTCTATATAGCTAGCAATTTTTCTTCTATAAACTTAATTTTCCGACGTCATTAACCCTAAGGGCATCTGCAATCCTGAGGGAAAACTGGCATAGATCCAAATACAGTCAACTTTCGCTCGTTGAGCCGAGGAGGGCGACATATCTAAATCTCAATGCTAGATGCTCGAAAAATCTCACGCTAACGAATCAATCTTCTAAAAATATTCTTTCATTTCTCGCATCTACTTACATCGCGCATCATCTGTTTGCAGGAAAGCTTCAGAATCGTCGTCAGGCCTCTTTCTATCTACTCAGCGTACGCGGAGCTAGCCACAGAAATTGGCATTGACGAGAGCTCTGTAACTCTTTACTCCTATGGAGAAATCTCATATGTAACTGTCAGTCTATATGTGTGACATGGCGGACTTTTTCTTATTCTCTCACTCCAAGACAAAACCCCATAAGGAACTGTCAAAATGTGTGTGAAGAAACATCACTTTTAACGGCGCCGGTGGTGTAGTGGTAAGCGTGATTACCTCTCACCCCAGCAGGCCTGGGTTCAATCCCAGTCGGCGCCGCCGGGATGTTCTGAGGCATAACATCTCTGATCACGCCTTCCTTCGGATGGGAAGTAAAGCCGTTGGTCAACGGTTCATGAGTTGATGGGTCGATAGATATGGTCTAGGTGTGGGAGCTGCCTTCCTGGCACGTCGGTAGCATTGGTGCTCAGCACGGAAAACAAGATCGACGAAAAAAAACAAACCAAAGGAAAAAAAAAAAAACGTCACTTCGGGACTGGTGTCAAGGCGAATCAACAATCTTTCCTGCATCGTAGAGTCGTCACCCTCGCGTTGAGCTAAACCCATAGCCCACTTAGGCTCTGAACCATTTGGCGATTTTTTTTTTAACTTTTGGTTAAAATTTGACAGATGGCAAGTTATCGATTAACCAACAATCAATACGAAACTAACGATTTTAAATTGGCTCACTACTTGACTAGCCTATTGGTCCCAAGCAAATCGACTAACGTACCCCATTCTTGTAAAAATTCCAGTACTACACTATGTTTGTTTTGATTCGCTATGAAAGTTTGACAGATAAAATGAGGGGTTAGTGGATTTTCCTATGTTTCGAGGGGTGAATCGATTAGCTTGGGACCGAAGATAGTACCAGAGCTGAGCCAAAAAGTTGAGCTCGTTTCTTCGGGACCTTCTGGTCTTAGAGTTACCTCTATGGTACCAGACCTGAGCCAATAAGTTGAGCACGTTATTTCGGGACCTTCTAGTCTTAGAGTTACCTCTATGGATTAACCTAGAGTCGGTGTATAATGAGTCACGCCAAGAGTGAAGCCAAGTCTACCTATTGAACTGTCAAACCAGCTACCTATCGTGCAAAGTAAACAAACATTACGATGCTATGAAAGGTCCACGAAAGGTATTGCAATAAAATATAAAATATAATCGAAGAAATGATCATAAACACACAGTGATCATTAGATTGTCATGGGATACGTTTGGTAGCGATCATTAATGAGAATTTCTACTAGTTTTTGTTGAGATGATTGGACAAAATCACTGATATAATGATTTAAAACAGCCGCTATTTTTTTTGCTCGCTGGAAGTCATTTGAAGTTGATGTAGCAGTCCTCTGTTGCCAAGTGAAAATAAATGGAATCTTTCGAAAACCGTGATGCGAGTTCAACTATTTTCTCTTGGCGTGACTCATTATACACCGACTCTAGATTAACCCTGCTATCTGAGCATGGTTATTTCTGACAGACAAGAAGTTAAATTTTGACGACCGTGGTTTGAAAACCTGTCGATCGACAGCACGGGGATTTTCGAACAAAAGAAATAACTTCCGAAATGTCACTTTTAACCACGAGTTAAATTTAACTCGGCAAATGGTTCACAGCCTTAGTGAAAGGCTTTCGTTAGTCGGGCTGAGTTGTCATGCTGAAAAAAGGTTGAGGGATACACCGATTGTTTGTAGCAACTTTCCAAATTGTTCATCTATGAGCCTCTCGAAATAGAATTAGCACTGTCAGAAATTACATCCGACTTCGATGTAGGCTCTGAACCATTTGGTGGATTATTTTAACTTTTGGTTAAAATTTTACAGATGAAAAGTTATCGATTAACCCTGCTATCCGAGCGTGGTTACTTCTGACAGACAAGAAGTTAAATTTTAACAACCTTGGCTAAGTTCTTCTCGAAAACCGGTCGATCAATAGCACGGGGATTTTCGAACATAGAAAATAACTTTCAAAATGTCACTTTTAACCACGAGTTAAATTTAACATGGCAAATGGTTCACACGAGGTTGACGATTAAGGCTGTGAACCATTTGCCGAGTTAAATTTAACTCGTAGTTAAAAGTGACATTTCGAAAGTTATTTCTTATGTTCGAAAATCCCCGTGCTGTCGATCGACCGGTTTTCGAGCCACGGTCGTCAAAATTTAACTTCTTGTCTGTCAGAAATAACCACGCTCGGATATCAGGGTTAATCGATAACTTTCCATCTGTCAAATTTTAACCAAAAGTTAAAATAATCCACCAAATGGTTCAGAGCCTAAGGCTGTGAACCATTTGCCGGGTTAAATTTAACTCGTAGTTAAAAGTGACATTTCGAAAGTTATTTCTTATGTTCGAAAATCCCCGTGCTATCGATCGACCGGTTTTTGAGCCACGGTCGTCAAAATTTAACTTCTTGTCTGTCAGAAATAACCACGCTCGGATAGCAGGGTTAATCGATAACTTTCCATCTGTCAAATTTTAACCAAAAGTTAAAATAATCCACCAAATGGTTCAGAGCCTAAGGCTGTGAACCATTTGCCGAGTTAAATTTAACTCGTGGTTAAAAGTGACATTTCGAAAGTTATTTTCTATGTTCGAAAATCCCCGTGCTGTCGATCGACCGGTTTTTGAGCCACAGTTGTCAAAATTTAACTTCTTGTCTGTCAGAAATAACCATGCTCGGATAGCAGGGTTAATCGATAACTTTCCATCTGTCAAATTTTAACCAAAAGTTAAAATAATCCACCAAATGGTTCAGAGCCTAAGGCACCTGTGTTAGTTAATTGAATGAATGATGAATGTATTTAATTAATATTGATTTTAATTGTAGGACATGAAAATTGCTGAGACGGAAGCGGATTTCTTTCCGGCGATGCAGTCGGTGAGAACCAAGTCGATGAAGGCTTTCAGGGATAGCTTAATCCTGCTGGAACGGTACCTTTGCTCGCCATGGCACGAAATGGTACAGGCCTGTACGAGTGAGATTTTTTGATACGCTTGTACATTTGAGCACTTCCAATGTGGAGACCGGCATCCCTTAAGCTTGCTTTGAAATAAAATACTGAACACTCTAGTAAAATGATTGCAAATTCGATTTTGAAAGAAATGAACCCAAATAATGTGCATTCAACTTACCCACCATATTTCATTCTACCGGATGGCTACTAATTGACCCGATGCAACAATTAATTAATTAATTTAGCTTTATTTAGGAGGCTTTCAGCCTTAGGCTGGTTCGCCTCCAAGGGACCCGATGCAACAATGTGTTTGTCCAGAGTACACTAAATTTGTATTATTATTTATCTCTAGATCGATATTGATTTTCGAAAACTGTATCCTGACAATGGCAATGGACTGCACAAGTAAGAAACCTTGCGATTGGATCCAACAGCAGCAGGCTTGCTGAAATATTCAACGAGCAGTAATATCAATGAAGGTAAGGTAGTTCATTAACCAAAAAATAGTAATCCGTATACATATCATAACATTATATTTATGTGTGTGCTTTCAGATATTATGCTATGTGCGCTGTTGCTAAGCCTCAATACGGTGTTGACTTCCATCCCTGCCAGTCCCAGATACAAACCAACCATTTGCGTGGCTCAAGAAGACACCATAGTTTTTGTTGAGTCCCTTGAACATACTGGCACATATGTACAAAAGATTTATGCAGACTACGCTGAACGAGGGTTGCCTATCGTTCCCAAGATAGTAGTATTAGGGAAAGGATTGGACGGGACCTTTGATGGAATCTTTGTACACTACAACGATTTTTACTACCAAGTGCAATCTATTGGCAGAGCTATCGACGTACTCGTAAAACAAACTGCTGTGCTTGGATTACCCTACTCCAAAGTGTCCAAGTTGATGTGGCATTTCATCAGCGGAACTGTATACGGGATAAAGCAAGGTGAAACATATGCAAGTATCTACCGAATGCAGGCATTTTTAGATGCAATCTCAAATCAAACGACACATCATGATTATCTGTATGGTGACGACGTGCTCTTCTTTATTTCCTAATGTTGAAGAATACTTGTTGCACTTGAAGGCTGACCACCTAGAACCGGTTGAATATCGGTACAAGTGCAAAGTAGGAGCATGTAATCAGATTTTTTCAAAGCTATATCCTTTCAAAAAGCATATTAGACTTCACCGTTTATCAGAAAAGCAAGCAGATACTAATGTTAGATACGAGCAACCAGGCTCAACAAAACGCCCAGTGGAATTATCGTCTCTATCGAATGAACCCAATCACCCAAAAATCATTAAACCTAATATCGGTCATAACATCGATGTACCTTCAGCCAGAACATTAATTGATCGAAATAATGAAGCAGCAACAAATCTTACTTTATTCATGCATATGAAAAACAATATGACACGAAAAGATGTTTATGTTCTGCAACATGAAATTAAATCAATGCTTCAGAAACTTGCCAATGAAATCGAAAGCCTAGATTTAACTATTGCAGACCCAAAAAAGAATTTTAGTTTTAAGAAATTTTTGGATAAAATGAAAAATATGTTTAAGCCTATTAACTCTGATCATAAACTTTTCAAGTACCTACAAAACATAAATGCATTCGAATTTCCAAACGTGATTACAGTTGAAAATGAAGAACCTGTTGCAAGACAATTCGATATTGAAAATGTAGAAGAAAATGAAACCAGTAAAAATTATCTGATAATAATGTGAGGGGGCGACCCCGGCGTAGTGGTTAACATCCATACCTATCACGCCTAAGTCACGAGTTCAAAACTCACCCCCGGACAAGTCACGAATGACCCAAGAGTGTTAAAGTGACTATAATAGAGAAGAAAAACTACAAGGGACAACCCAATGGGGTTGTACGCAATGATGACGTAGGACAACGTGGTATGATAAAATAAATATTTTTGTTAACTGCAGCAGGAGTTTGTGTTTTGTGTAGGAATAGGAATTTAAGCTGGGTTCTCTCTGTTTATTCTCTAGTACTGTTGCATTAATGACCCTTCGGTCAATTTCAACTTCTAATCATTTTTCACACTGCCTTACTCTAGCGGAACCATCAACCTATCCCCTTCAGAAATTTCTCTAGTTATTAAATGATCCCACTAAAGCTTCATGTTGATATTAGTATAGCATTTCCAACTAACTCTGAAAATCCTATTATTGCATTACAGTGACGATCAGGGCGTCACAATATCAGCTTCAATCGACCAAATCGATGCGACGAAGAGACTGCTGGCTTTCTTTTTCTGTTAAAGTCGAACAGCTTCGCAGCATTCTAGAACCTCGGCGTCGGCGTGCACAAACAAATGTTCAATCGCTTGTCTCTCTTTCTCCCGTCGCTCCATTGGTCTTCCTTTCAAGCTTCGTCGAAACGGATGAGCGAAAGAGCGCTCGACTTTGATAGTTTTCTCTTTCATGAAACACATCAACAGAGGTTTCATGACGTATATGACGGAAAATGAAATAACACATTTAAAGCATTTCTCACGTCAACACACTTGAAGATTACACGTCATATTTCTAATTTATCTTCCATCCATATATTTATCTAAAAAAAATTATCGAAAACGGGACATAACGCATTTTAAACAAATTGAAAGAGCGGTGATAGAGTGTTCGTGAAAGGCGATTGAAAGCCATAATGAGGTTCGTTTAACTAGAAAATCGACGTTAGTTACATTGAAAGCGATGAGCAAAGCAACGACGAGAAGTTCCACAGCCAGCCTTTCCTTCTAAGCGTCCTGCTTTTTTGTTTTCGTTTCTTGCTGATAGTCTAGCTAGGCGTTATAGAAATCAAGCGTCGAACACGTATCTATGAGAGAAACAAAACACGAGTTCATTTTAGAGCTTCGAAATTGTAGAGCCCTGGTGACGATACATTTCCAAATCTTCTTCCCACCAATCTGTTTCTGGACATCTAAAATATTGGGTATATAATGAATTATAGATTGGGACTCGGACCTTACTGTATCGTGGGAATTCTTGGTAGGTTTCGGATCAAATTATGCACCAATACACTTTTTTTTACACCAAATTATATTTTGTTAAACTGTTATTCTCTCTGCTCTCGTTTTTTTCCATTTTCCAGTTTTCTATATCCTTTGTTTTCATCCATCATTATAATCATAAAAAATCATATGTATATATATAGCAGTTTACCTAATAATAATAGTACAATAACTTACTTTCTCCATCTCCATTTTCATTTAATTTTTTTTTCTGTATGATCCAATCATCCACGAGTTTACGCCCGTTTAAATGTAGGAGTACTTTTCATGCCATTCTTCTTCTTTCTGCTGTTCGTAAAGTTTCCGCCAATTTATTCCTCCCACAATCATTCATTCATATTATAGTTGTCCTCTGCAGCTCGCGGACAGGGGGCAGGCTGTAAAGAACCTATAGACACTTTTTTTCTGCTCTCATCTGCTAAAAATTTCATCCATTATTTGCTTTAACTAATATACATCTTACAGTCAGTTAATACATTTATGCTTTTTTTTCCTCTATGTTTGTGTGGGTGTCTGTTTTTGTAATTCTTCCTTCTGCTTCTTCTCTTTCTGCTTCTCCTCCTTGGATTTGTTATGTTATTTCTTTATTGTATGATTTCCGCTAACCGTTCATCCGTTAATCGTTTTCTTTTAACTACAGCTTGTTGTGTATTAATTGTTTTTTTATTGACGATGAAATACCTATTTGTCCGTCCTATCATAAAGAGGGGTTTTCATGCTTTTGTTCATACCATTTTTCATATTGTTAACCTACATTTTTCTCTCTCTCTCTCTTATGAATGCGCGTCGGTTATGCGATGGTTGTTGTTTGGTTGTGTGTGTATAAGTAATATAACATTTAAAATTTTCCACCTAAGTGTCGCAGTGCTCTCTCGCCGTCGTACTGACTGACTCTGACTAAACATGAAGTTTCGTGGAATTTGATAGAACGTTTGTTTACTTGTCTTAAAAGTTTGTTTTTCAAAATTGGATTGCAATTCTTACTGGGTTGTTTCGGTGTGGATTAGTGGTTAGTACGAGACAGGGAAAAGTTTCAAGTATGAAGGAAGAAGACATATTGAAATTTACTTTACTTTTTCATGGATTTTTGAACCAGTTAGATTATGTGTTTTGCGTGTAATTACCCTACAAATAAATTCGATGGCTCTAATTATTTCTCTTTTACCTTTCAGTGCCACAGTGCCACTTCATGCCAGCAGTGGACTTTTAGATTATCTCTTAAATGTTCCGTGTCAACTACGCGCCTTTGTATATAAAAGAAAACGTTTCCAATAAATCTACTATAGATAAAAACAGAGGTTAACTGCTTGCGTAGAAAGTTTGCACATGAATTTCTGTTTCCGATGAGAACCGTTTAGACACTCAAATTGTTGCACATTTAAAGGTGGTGGGTAGATTATTAACGTGAAACAAAAAGTAAACATCGAGTTGCGAAATAGCCAACAGTATTGAACATCAATTTTTATATCATTATAAAACTTCCTAAACCCTCTTTCACTACCGGTTCTTCCCGTTAGCGTTTTCAAGTAAAACCACTGCAAATAAGTTCGAATAAAATTTTGGCCGAAAGTTCCCTTCAAAGCTAACTCTTAAGCAACAGACAAACAGACTGCATCATTGTTTGTGTGTTTCGAAAAATTGAAATCGTTTTCTACCTTTACAAATTGATGCCCTCATTTTTTATCACATCAACAACAGCCGTGCTCTCCATGAAATTTCAGTTAGTGAGTTTAATGGAACTAATGTTGTGCCTAATTCGGTGTGCGTTTGTGTGAGTGTGTTTGTGATATACCCGTTGCCTAGCAACTGGTGAGAAAACAAAGCCTTTGTTTGCTTGTATGTCTGCGTGTTTCATCCTCGCTGTTCCATTGGAATGCATTGCTAGAGCAGCGGAATTGTTTTGAATTTAAACGCGAAAAATACTGAATTTATAACCGACCTTGTGCCTAATATTTGCAGTGCTCGTACAATTATGTAAAGCTTTCTATCTGCCTACTATAATACTCCCTAGAAACGAATAAATGTATATATTAGAAATCTTGCGTGGTAGAAACAAAAAAAAAAATAAAAAAAGATTAATAAATAGAAGCTAAAATGAAACTGGCATACCTACATAAAAAAAAACAGACAAATTAACATTAATAAATAAGGGAAATGTTAGTTAATGTATAAAACGTTTTTCTTTCCACTGCACGTTTTTTCGCATACATCGAAAATGAGGCGACGGAAAGAACGATTGTTTGGATCCATCCGGTTTTGACTAACAGTTGTGTATGTGTATTAGTAGGCGAAGCGGACGTTACTCGCTTCGTAAATGCTTTAAAGTTGATTATTATTTTCCTACCGCAACTAGTTGTAGAGTTGCGTAGAGTTGTGTCTGCTTCTGATTCGGTTAAAAACGTGTTCTCTTGAGCGCACGCTTGCAGCTGCTGCTTGCTACTAATTTGTTATATCTTAAGCTACCAGTTGTTCTCCCACTTACCGCTTCTTCCCATTATAGATCCGATAACTTACTAAAGCATTGTCCAACACTCGGTTCAAAATTCTAATCCAACGTTCATTATGATCTTCTGGCTTTTGGTACAGCTAAAAAATGGTACACGCGCTTACACTCATACTACTACTACACGCTTGCACGCTTACGGGTTGGGTCTTTCTGTAAAAGACAGAGTACAATGGTTGTGGTGGTGTTGATGGTGTTGCTGCTACAGTGCGTAGCTTACTGCTCTACTCTAAACCAAAATATTTGCTCTGCATTGGTTCCGCATTGTTTTAGTACTGATCATTGTTGTTTTTGGCAAAACCACTCGTCCGAACCGTTATCCGATCCATACATACACACACACACATGCGCGCGTCATCCTCAAAAATTGAATTTTCCACACCGTGGTTTTATTAGGCTTCCGTTTCAGCACCTTTCAAACGTAACCGTGCAAAGTCCTCGAAGATTATGTCGTCGTCTGGACAGTTGTCATCGCTGCTTGACGGGTTGATTTGCAACGAAATAGATAAATAGAAATAGAAAAAAAACACACATTTAACATGTAACTACTATACTTGGTGCAATCTATGCAGACTAAGATTACTTATCTAAGAGTACGCATCAAAATCAATACTTGACTAAAGAACACTTCTAGGATAAATGGTGGTCAAAGAAATGTTTGAAGCGACACCCTGCGGTTGAACCCTTCCCCGGTTAACTGTGGATAGATGTCGCTTCAAAACAATCTTTAAGGTTATTTTACATACAGTATCCTCCCGCTCATCCGACAAAATCATGATCGGACTATCGGGGTTTGACTCGGTAATCCGACTGTCAAATTCCTATTAAAAATTACATTATGAAAAATATTCATGTCCGATTTATGTGAAAACATAGGTGGTATTCGACCAACCTATTCTTCACGTAACTTTTACCGGCATTGTACATAGCCAAGCAAAATCAGCTTCGATTATCTACGTGATTAGTCAGATGAATAAGACTTGATTTCCACGTAATGCTTACGTGAAATTGAAGTGAAAACTACTGGAAAACTGGTAACTTTTACGTGATATTCTGTGTTGCTTAAAATGCTTTTCACGAAATTTGTACGTGAATTTTGAATGAGAATAATGGAAAGTATATAAAGAGGCAGTCAATATTATTCAAATATAAATTTCACGTATTTTAATTGATGATTATATCTGCTCATAAAATTGCAAATTATTGACTCCTTAGTCCTTGTTATGAGGTAGAAATGTTTATGAGACTTTTATTCCTGACAAAATATTAACAACTCAAAATTACGGTGCCACCTTCTGAAATTATACTTTGAGAAGTTCTTCCAGCCGGCGCCGGTGGTGTAGTGGTAAGCGTGACTGCTTTCTAACACCCCAATGGGTCTGGGTTCAATCCCCAGCCGAGGTCGGTGGGATTTTTCTGAGGCATAAAAATCTCTGGTCACGTCTTCCTTCGGAAGGGAAGTAAAGCCGTTGGTCCCGGCCCATGTCATGTGTATGTGTGTTGAATGGGTGCGATATCCTACGCAGGTGTGGAAGCTGCCTTCCTGCACATTCGATTGCCGTCAATGGATGGCAATCGATGTCCGTCGGTGATTGGCACTAGATTGCGGAACAGAGACCGATGTTAAATAAAGGAAAGAAGAAGAAGTTCTTCCACCACGCTCGGTGACGCCATATTGTTTTTTTTGCATACCTGAAAATCACGTAAATCTCGTTTCGCGGAAATATCGAAGTCTCAAACACACTAACAGAAATACACTAAATATGTTTACGTGAATATACGGTCGATATCACCACCATTTTCAAGTGAAAATGACGAGTAAAGCTGGTCAAAGTTACTAACGTCATGTAACAATTTAGATTTTCTAAATACAGATCAGTTACGTGATATTTCACGTAAATCGGACGTGTAGTTTTTTTTAGAGTGTGGTTAAATATTTTTCGTTAAAAATTGACAAAAAATGCAGAATAACAACTTCCTGACAAATGTTTGAACTTTTTTTTATATATATTTTTTTAATATTTTTTGCAAAGAAAATGATTGAAAATGTCTTCCCCCTGCTTCCAGTTCAACTCAGGGATGTGTCAAAACCCAGTAGAAGTTGAATTTTTATCAATCATTAGCTGAGTGTGCCCGGCCCGGGATTCAATATTAGCTTGAGTTTATGCGCGAATTAAAAAAAAAGCATGCTATATTGTACGTAGCCCCCCCCCCTCTTATCTAAGAGACTACCCCCTCCACATGCCAAATATGGTTCCATTTGCTTGATTAGTTCTCGAGTTATGCAGAAATTTCTGTTTCATTTGTATGGGATCCCCGCCTTACAGAAGGGGGAGGGGTCTCGAACCATCATAAGAACCTTCCACGGCCTCAAAAACCCTGTATACAAATTTTCACGCCGATCGGTTCAGTAGTTTCCGAGTCTATAAGGGTCAGACAAACAGACAGAAATTCATTTTTATATATATACTAGCTGAGTGTGCCCGGTCTTGCTCGGGATTCAATATTAGCTTGAGTTTATGCACCGATTTAAAAAAAAAAAGCATGCTATATTGTACGTAGCCCCCCCCCCCCTTATTATCTAAGGGGCTACCCCCTATGATTATCTCCTTATACCCCCAGTTTCCGAGTCTATAAGGGTCAGACAGACAGACAGAAATTCATTTATATATATATAGATAAGAAGATAGATAGATAGATAGATAGATAGATAGATAGATAGATAGATAGAAGATAGATAGATCGATAGATATATAGATAGATAGATAGATAGATAGATAGATAGATAGATAGATAGAAGATAGATAGATAAAAATACCCTTTTATTTGAATAATTTCTGCTGAACTTGGCAATGACAAGTGAGCAATTCTATTTTAAATTTTAAATTCAAACGCATCCTCAAACTACACCGAGTAATTAAGTTGTATGAAATTAACGACGTCAGACATATTTTTAAGTAAGATTCTTTGATTAAAAAATATTTCCCTGAATTTGAATTAAATTCCCTGAGATTCCTTGATTTTCCAGGTCCAAGATCGAATCCTCTGAAATTCCTGATTTTTCAGGTTCTTACAGGCAGTCGACGCCCTGAAATTTAAACTATTCTGGAATCCAGAATCTGGATTCTGGGAATCTTAAATGGGGACTATGATAATCCCCACAAGACCCTAATAACATTTCTGGTTCTATTATGGTCTTCAAGTCCATTATAAGTCTATAAAATCATGTTACTTGCGCCGAATGAGGATTCTGGGAAGTGGAGATTCTGATAATCCTGGCTAAAAGGTCTTTAATTCAATTAATACATAATTTCGCATTTCATTGTGTATCTTTCAAGCTCTATGTTTTAATTGTGTATCTTTCAAGCGATTGGCATCGCACTTCTAAAACTGAACCCCTCAAATGTGTACCCTACCTACGAAACATGAACACAGTAATGACAGACTAATTACAATATCAGCTCTCATCCTAAAAGCATGTTAATGTGCAGTATCAATCAATCTTCTACCATCAGAGATCCACCTACAACATTTACTACGACGCAAAGCAACTCAACGTCTCAAGTCTCAAGCTGTCACAAAACAGCCACTCTCTTCCAATGCATCAATACCGCAACCGCAAAACCATGCTGCAATCTGCCCCACTCCGGACAAGCCTGGCCCTATCAAAATCGTCAGAAGCTGTCCAGTTCAGCAGAAACCGGATCGCACTACACGTCAAATCATGTGCTCCTGCCGCCTAAATTGAACTAAACTGAGTTCCTGCCGCCGGGGGCTGTGGGATGCAGCGATTGAACGATGGACGTGGTGCGGTTGTCTCAATTTCACACGCCGAAAAGGTGTCGGTCGAAACGACTAGGCACTATGAAACCTATCCCTAATCTCGGGAAACAACCTACGCAATGTGGACAAAGCAAGGGACCTGGGCAACGGGTAACCCAAGTGCATCGAAACGTGCGGGTGGACATGTACTTATACGAACAACAACAGGAGGAACCATGAACCTGGTGCAAAAACCTCCGACACCGCATGGGGCAATAACGGTCTACCTAGGAGGAGTGCTGCAGCAACTGGTGTGCAAAGTGAACAACAGTGTGTGAGTGCAGTCTGATGCGCGGGGGGTGTCGTCGTTCGAAAATACCACATCGCGAGAATATGCATCGTTATCCATCGCTGCTGATGCAGCAGTAGAAATGTCGATCCGATTTGCTGCATTGCATGTGATGTGGTTTCAGAATCCAGCTTGGCAGCTAAAAGTGGGTGGTGGTGGGTGGTCTATATGGTAGGATGAGATCTGACTTTAGCGTAATGTTTCAACGAGAGGTCGGTGTTGGTGGTGGTGTTGGATTGTATACGCTTTCTCGCTTCTCGTTCTATGTGTTGATCTCTGCCAGGAAAAACGAGGCCAGGTCAGTGTTACAATTGAGTCGTTTCCGTTTCGATTACCAGTGTTGCCTTGGTCCTATGGCAGCGAGAGCGCAGTTTTTCGGGAGGAATGGGAAGAAAGGAAAGCGATAGTTGGTTCAATTACATTCGAATGCATTGTAATGCGATTGAATGACTATAAAGATTTTAGCATTGGGAAGTGTCACAGTGGGAACATCCAAATGCTTTCCACTGTTCCCTAGCAAACCTACAACACACCATGCGTCTACATCAGTACTTAGCTGTTCCGGGAGCTTGAATCAATGTTTGATATGAACATTAACCCTCCACTTGATTTGAGTGGTAATTCGCTCATAAAATCATACACCCCGGTCCCATAACCAATCACCCACCTGCCCGAGTGGGGGCGAATAAAACCAACCGCAACACGACAGCCCTATAGCCATAATAACCCAATCGGAAATTGGTAAAACGCACGCCGAACCAGAAAACCATCATCCGGTTGGTCCTTGTCGTTGGGTATGAAATTATAATGAGTTGTTCGATGTACCTACATCAGGGTGGGTCAAGTTTGTATGGCGGATAAAAACCTTCGCTTTGGAGTTGTATTGGATTTCTCAACAACTGTGCCAAATTTGAACGAATCTGGTTACGTTCTGGATTTTGAGGGATAACTTTAAAGCTTGCAAGGAAAAAAATATGGAAAACGGAGCGAAACTATTCATTTGCTTGTCAAACATTCATAAATTGCTCAAGTTTTACCAAACTTGAGACTTATATAGGGAAAGCTATGTCGAACAACTTTGACAAAGATTCCACGCGGGTTCTGTGCAAAAAGTTATTATTTTTCCCAATCTGACCCTCAAGTTTGGTAAATATTTTGAATGAATGAATAGTTTCGATCTGTTTCATATACCTACATGATTTCATACAAACTTTCAAGCTCTCCCGCGAATCCAGATCCTAACAAAATTCGTAAAAATTTGGCACAGTCGTTGGGGACCTAGAAACAGATGGAAAGAGCAGTGGGGGAGCATGGGGTTGTAAAGTTGACCCACCCTAACCAACATACAGTAGCCCCCTCTCGTTAACAGTTTCAGTCAAAAGCCATCAAATGGCTCAACCCGGCCCCAGCTAAATACTCACCCATCCAGCTGGATCAGGTTGGGACCGTCCTCTTTGCCCGCCTCGCCGCCGCGGTTGCTGCTATTCTTGTTCAGGTCGCTGGCACCGGTGCCGCCTCCTCCACTGCCGGCACCACCCGCCCCCGCATGCAGCTTGTCCGAGTTGGCAATCGTTCGGCCCGGCGATCGGTCTCCTATCACCGGTTCGTCGTCATCCGGTTTCGGGTGCATCAGGATGAATGGCAGCTCCGCTACCAGGTCACTGAAAAAAATGTGTATAGTTTATGGCCTGAGCCCCATTGACTTAATTACTCCCGCTTACCCGCCCAACGGTGTAATGCACAGCTTAACCTTCACTTTGTACTGCACGATGATGCCGAGGTTCTCCCGCTGGGAAGGATCGGCAATTCTGTTCCATTCCAGGGGTTGGTGGTGGTTATTGGGTTCGGTTCCAAATGAACAGTGGAGTCGTCACACGGAAGGAGAAGCATGAAATAAATAGAAGTCAAATTAGCGTCATTCCAAATGGTGGGGGCCTTAATTTTTGCTTCTTCTATACTAGCGATGCGATAGCGTGAGAATGTACTTTATGAATATGGCTTCATTGGCGCGGGGGAGATGGTTGACACGGGGGATGGCATGGTGTGATAACGGTGGAGGTATGGCGGAGGGTGGGGCGAAGAACCAAGTGAATGTGAAAGAGAATGATTTAATGAGGCTAATTTCAATGAGCGTTGTTTAACTGATTTTGACTGTAGATATGCAAATTTTGATTTAAACACGAATACGGAACTTCTATAGTTGAATTTCGTCGTTTGTATGCTGGCAGGGAAAAGTTTTACCTAGAATGCATGATCTAGGACGAATACTCAGAGGATGAAAAAGGGGAAACAATGCATGAGTGTACACGGTTGAAAAGTCTTAATCGTTTTTAGCAGAAGAGAAACTTTTTGAGGTACCTTCCAGCATCTGCGAGCTTCTTGTACGGTCTCTTAAATCTTTTTAACCTTTCAGTACTCGCGCCAACTTTTGTAACATGAGCACTCGCGCGTTGTACACAATACAACAGTATGCTATTTTCACTTTGAGGGAACTTCTTGAAACCTGATATTCTCTAACATTTTCTTCAAGTAATGGTCTATTAGACGTTGGTATTAAATTACATGAATCTTGTTCAGTTTCACGTTGAGCGAGTCCCAAAGTCAGTAGATTTTTTTTATTTTTTTATTTCGTGTTGTACTTTGCACAACGGCGCGAGCACTGAAAGGTTTTAGTGTCTTAAACGCTGTCCAGACTGGAGAGTTATAACATGTTATAACGGTTGTCAAATAATTGCAACACAGAAACCACCATCAAGATAGCGCTATAACATGTTATAGCTCTGTAGTCTGAACGTACTATTACTCAGAAATGAATAAACGAGCAGTTGTAAAGGGGTGCCAAACACACTGTAGGGAGTTTCCAAAATTTTCCTGATGTGAATGAAACTGGCTTTTCTTTCCTTGATTTGTTTTCCGTGCTGAGCACCAATGCTATGACCATCTCATGAACCGGGGACCAACGGCTTTACTTCCCCGAAGGAAGGCGTGATCAGAGATGTTATGCCTCAGAACATCCCGGCGGCGCCGACTGGGATTAAACCCATGCCTGCTGAGGTGAGAGGTAATCACGCTTACCACTACACCACCGGGCTGATGAAACTGGCTTGAAGTTCTTTTATAGTTTGAGAAACTAGCCTGATGCTCACAATACTTCTCATCAAATTCGCAGAGAGCATTTCCAGCTCAAAACGCAAACCGGTTGTACATGAGTGTTTCCGATTTGAATCAGTGTTGGCAAAATCATCAATCAAATTATATTTTTCCGCTCTCATACGGTCTCAATATCATGCTATATATTGGAACAAAATATCATGCTTGATATTAATTTTATAAGCTCCTTTGATATTTTTGATATTGCGAGACTATTCACAACGTGCAAAAATCAAGCGGAGAGTTCTCGCAAACAACAATAGTGACATCTGATGGAACATGAATGCAGAAGCTTGACAAAATGATTAATTAATCATTTTGTCAAGCTTCTGCATTCACGTTCCATCAGATGTCACAGCTGCTGTTTGCGGTGACATCTATCGGAAACTAGACACAATCTGTTTTCCTATAATTGTTCACAGAGGACACTGCAGTGCAAAACCTGTCTGGTACCTCTATATATGCATTTAGATTATTATTCGAAGTCCCTCCTTTTTTACACATTCTGCACCCAAAATAGCTCACCCCTCACAGAATTTCCCGCCGAATTTTATGTATGGGGCGGGGCATAAAGTATCTTTTGCGCAGAATATGTAAAAGAGGAGGGACTTCAAATGTTAAAGCAAATGCATATATAGAGGTACCAAACATGTTTTGTAGTGTCAGGTACTCTATTTTGTAATCTGTGAAAGGGAAATCACAAATCGAGTGTCAACAAAATACATGGCATGTTGAGAGATTGAGCTCGTGAGAGAGAATTTCTCTCTTAAATTTGAATTTTTTTGGGTCTCTGGGACTGGTAGTAAAGCAGGTAAAGTTGTATGGGGAAAAATTATTTTTATTTAATTGAAGCTTGTTTAACAATAATTTCCGGGAAAAAACTGAACGACAAAGTCCCTGATTAATTTCTTTAGGTTGTCGTTCACTTTTTTTCACCTGAATGTGCACCGAAAGCGAATTATTCCCACTTCTCTCAATTTCTATAAGGGGATTTTTATCACCCAGCGGAACAGCGCCATCTCTGTGGAAAATGGTCGAACAAAATGATTAATTAGAGGCATTTAGGCCGACATTACATCCATTTCCCCTATTCAAAAAATTGACTCTATTTTTTTCAAAAAAAAATATAACATGAAAATGATTGATCTGATCAAAATTATATCTGAGAAAAAGTTTCTTTGAGAAAAAAAGCTCAGTAAATCCATAGTTAAAAAACAAAAACCCTTTGATTTTCTCAAAACTTTAGAAATTTTTAGATATTTTTTTTCGTAATGAAATGGTGAAAAAAAAACTAAGAAAGGAACGAGTACGTCTTACAGCCACCATAACTGAGAATAAATTGTTTGTTTTTTATAATACACAATCATGGAAAATACGGATGAACTTAGGAAAATAGTTTACGTGTGTTAATTTGTCAAAATGATGCGTAGATTCCAAATAAATCATCATTTCACTATTTCATATGCAATTTCATTAACATTTGAAAATCAACAAAATTAAAAAAAAATAGATTTTTTTTCAAGGAAGTTATAGCTTATACTTTTTACCAAATTTTAGGGCATTACTATAGCTTTTTTTTTTACAAAAAAAAAATAATAAAAAAAACGTAAAAATTAAAGGGGAAGTGTTTTGAAAAAAATCAACGTTTTAAATTTTTTGCTATGAATTTACTGCAAAGTATTTTTTCTCAAAGAACATTTAATTACCTACAACTTCTTTAAAGATGTCATTTCGATCAAATCAATCATTTTCATGTTATGATTTTTTGAAAAAAAAAAATTAATCCTTTTTTTGAATACGCTTTTGAGAAAAACATTATATTTAGATGAAAAATGCAACAATTGATAGCGGCGAACATGTGAGCAATGTTTTATTCAATCGGAAGGGGTCGAGACAAAACTGTCATTTTTTTAGGGTTTTGAGTTGGAAATGCTCCAAAACTTTTTAGGACTTCCTAAAGTTTCCTCAATTTTCCTAACGATCATGGATCCTCTGTAAAGTTTTAACAAATCGCTGAAGTTCTCGAAACTTCTTTAAAATTTATGTAATATATCTAATGTTAACTGCTCTAACATTCTCTGTTCTTTATAAAAGTTCTCGAAACTTCTCTAAAATTTTGACTGTTCTCATGAAGCTTGTTGTACTGCCCTGAATTTAATTGAACTGTCCTAAACAATTTCTGTGAGCTTCTGAACTTATGTGAACACCTCACTAATTTTCTTAACATATCAGAAGTTCTCTGGAGATATGCAAACTTCTTCAAATTTCCAAGGTTGCAAAGACTCATTTCAGCTAAAATAATGTTTTTCGGAATAATAAAACCAAAAGATGGTATGATGACATGTTTTACTTGTAACTTACAAGAAGAGGTTACAAAGTATGCGTTGGAAACATAAAACCTGTAAATTTTGCTTTATATGAGTCACAATCAGCGATTTGCTGATCGCTGAGTGAGTGAGTGAGTGAGTGAGTTTGTGAAAAATCGCTGATTGTGACTCTCATGAAGTGAAATAAACAGGTTTAATATGTCAAACACATTCTTTGCAACCTCTTCTTGTATCCTACCAATTCAAAATTTGATCATGGCATCTAATTATTTCATAATTTAGAAAAACATTGTTTTAGCTGAAATGAGTCTTTGCAACCTTGCAAATTTCCCGCTTATTTTCTGAAACTAATGGAAGTGAACTACCCCTGAAATTCCCACTATTTTTGGAGCTTACTAAACTTCTTTGAAAAGCTCCCGCATTTTGCTAATGTTCATGAAAGTAGCTGAAGTTCTAGTTTTTTCCTCAAGTTCCATAGACTTCGAAATGTTTTTGAAGATATCTGCACGTCTGTGAAGTTTTATAAGTAGTTCTGAAATTTCTTAAACTCCTTTAAGCTACCTGAATTTTCTTGGAATCAAAACGACATAGGGGAAACAGTCCTATTATTGCGGTATTTTAGAAGCATTAGAAGCCTTCTAACGCTTCTAACGTACCGCAATAATAGGACTGTTTCCCCTAATTAATTTAGTATTATGATTTTCACTGAAGTCCTTAAGACTTTTTCTGAAGTTCGTGGAACTGCTCTTAAAGTATCGACACTAATTGATAGCTTTTTCAATAGTCTAGGCTTACTGCCCCCCTTGAACAGCCTCAATAATTCGGAACAATGCTTAACAGGACAGAATAAATTGCACCGCAATCTTGGATCAATCGTCCATCCCCGAGCGTTGCATAACAATGTAGCCCAGGAAGCTAATTTTGATTCTAGTGATACATTCCCACACATACGGAAGTATTATATCTCCATTGATTTATAGCGATTGTATTATAGTAACATGGTCAAGACGCATGGTAGTCTAGTTGCATAGGAGTATTGAGTGAAAACCCAAAACTTGATAACTTCAAAAAAATATAACTCAAAAACGAAAAAAAAACACATTGTTGATTTTTTATATGTTGTGTAAAAAAGCCAAAAAAATTCAAGGAAACATATAAAAACAAATTGCGCCGTCTGTCTACAAACCATAAAAAGCATAGCAAACAACACAACCAACGTTTTTCAAAACAAAATCCTAATTTGTTTAAATTATAATATTTTTCTTAAAAAGAATTTTTATTTACCTTTCATCTGATAGGGGAAATGGATATGTCGGCCTAAATGCCCCTAATTTTCGCCCATACATAAATTTAGCAATCGACTAAATTTTCAATAGCGACCAAAAATATCCATAAGACGCGTTCATCTAGATCAAATTTATAAATAGCAGATTTTTTTACGATTAGCCCAATCTTAGATCCATAGGCCAACATTAGAGCCATTTCCTCCATTTTGATTAGAATGCAATGGTTCAAAAGTTATGAGTTTTTGAAACAAGTCAATTTAAAAAAATACGATTTTTCGACCACCTAATGTGGGAATGGTCACCCTAATGACACAATAAAAAATAAGGATCTAATATTTTGCGATTTTGCGTAATTCCAAAATTCTGAGAACCACTATATAATTTTGCTTTGGAATGGCTATATATGCATACGATTACAACGGCATCATAACGTTAATAAACAGTTCTAGCGTTCAGAATCTTAAGGGCCTAACTGTGATGATCGATTACCTCTTTGGTTAATAACTCGGTTGTATTATAATTTCTCGGTGCATTTGATGTTGGTTTTGCTAAGCAAATAGTCACTCATATTCTCGTTTTCGCTCAAACCGTATTTTCCATAAAAAAAAAAGTATTTTTGTATGATAAATACGGTTCGAACGTGATTATGGGTGATTATGTTTTAGTACACTGTATCTAAGCTAATCTAACACCAACACAGCCAGTTCTTGAAAGCATTCTTTTAAATGATGGATATACCTATATTTTTCAAGTCTATTTGATATATGTTTTTTTTTATAGAAGATGCATCACACATACCAAAACAGCCAGGCCTTCTGTGCGGAATTTAAGGGGCAAGATGGTTCAGAAAACATCGGGCCTGTTTAAATTGAAAATTTAAACACGATGCTTCAGACTCCAACAAATATATGAAACGTGGACATTCATAATGCTACGTTTTACTACATTGTATTGGAAGAAAAAAATCGGAAAATTGTTCCAATTAACTGTAGTAATGTGAAGAGAAAATCGATGAAGAGGATCGATCATCTCAGTTAGGCCCGTATGTTTCTGAACGCTAGAGTTATGCATTGAATGAAATACAATCCCACATCGAACAAACTGAAAACATATCTCAAACGGCACACGTGAGTCCATTACCTTTATTCTTATTTGTTCCAATTTCGAATGTTTCAATCAATTTAAATTCGAAACAAGCAACACATAAATGGACACATGGATACAACAATGCAACACATAAATGGACACATGGATACAACAATGCAACACTCATCATACAAACACACATATACATCGAAAAAGCTGTTCCAATTAAAATATGAAAATTACTTCACTGGGAAAACCATATGGATGCGTGTAGTGCGGTTAATATAAAAATGGTAAAATTCACAGGTGCGTTCGTTTTTCTTTATGATTTTCATGAGTGACACCAGTAACATACACCACACAATAACTAAACTAAACGAAAATATAAAAAAATTCTGTCACTAGAGGCGAAAATATTTAGTTTGTTTTGGGAAATAAACGAAACGACACAACCAATAGCATGGAAAAAATGTGCAAACACGCACGGATGGAAATATGATGGAATATAAAAAAAAATATTGAAATCGAATTCGAAATGTGTTGTTCTTCGATGACGGGCAATAATTTATTGGGATGCAAGAAGCAGTCAACCAGTATGTTGAAAAAAAAAACAAGTTCGGGGAATCCTGGTGCCAGGAGATATGCAAAAACCAACATTGACACGTGGAATATTTATCGATTGGACACCTATTGATGGTGGTACAGTTTTCGAATGGTAGATTCGTCACTTGCTGTAGCTTTTCCAGCAGGGGTTTTCTCCTCAACCCAGTAATGACCCGATTTTGTCAGCCGCCTTTCTGAAAATCTTTTGTAATGTTCCACGAAACCCATGCGATTTTTCTGTGGTCTAATTGCACCAAAGTATAGCTTCAACGTTCACCTTGACTTGAAGATGAATGAGAAAGATTTGGAATGAATCATATCGTCAGGCCATTTTCCACAGAGATTGCACTGTTCCGCTGGTAGGAAGTAATGCAAATTCCCATAGGTCCATTAATTATGTCACGCAAATTTGGTCCATTTTCAATACCCCCGTTGTCACATGTACTTTAATTTTTTTTTTGTATGGCTCGTCACAGTTTTCAAAACCCTGCTCCGCCCTAAAAGTGTGACATAATTAATGGACGACCCCATATAGAAATTGAGAGTAATTAGTGGTAATTATTCGCTTTCGATGCATAATTCAGATAAAAAAAAAAGATTAACAGAAACCTAAAGAAATCATTCATGGATTTCGTCGTTCACTTATTTCCCGGAAATTATTGTTAAACAAGCTACAATTAAATAAAAAAAAAATGATTTTTCCCCATACAGTTCTACCCGCTTTACTACCTCACGAGCTCAATCTCTCAACATGCCATGTATTTTATTTTGATGACACTTAGTAGTGATTTCCCTCTCACAGACTACAAAATAGAGTACTTGACACTGCAATATATGTCTGGTACATCTATATATGCATTTCGATTAACATTTGAAGTCCCTCCTTTTTTACATATTTTGCACAAAAGATACTTTATTTTGTTTGCAGAATATGTAAAAAAGGAGGGACTTCGGATGTATTTTTTGTACAGAATATATGAAAAAGGCCTCTTTCACAGAATATATAAAAAAGGATTTCGGATGTTAATCTAAATGCATATATAGAGGTACCATACATGTTTTGACCGCACTGCCCTCTGTTAGCAATTAACGGAATTAAGTGTATGGGTAATTTCTGATAGATGTCACCATTAAAAACAGCAGTGACCTCTGAAGGAAAATAAACGCAGAAGCATGGTAACATGATTAATCAACCATTTTGTCAAGCTTCTGCATTCATGTTCCATCAGATGTCACAGCTGTTGTTTGCGGTAACATCTATCGGAAACTAGGCACAATCTGTTTTCCTATAATTGTTCACAGAGGACACTGCAGTGCAAACCATGTCTGGTACTTCTATATATGCATTTAGATTATTATTCGAAGTCCCTCCTTTTTACACATTAAGCACACAAAATAGCTCATCCCTCGCAGAATTTCCCACCGATTTGTATGAGGGCGGAGCAGAATATGTAAAAAAGGAGGGACTTCGAATGTTAATCTTAATGCATATAAAGAGGAACCAAACATGTTTTGTAGTGACAGGTACTCTATTTTGTAATCTGTGTAATCGAGTGTCATCAAAATACATGGCATGTTGAGAGATTGAGCTCGTGAGAGAGAATTTTCACTCTCAAATTTGAATTTTTTGGCTCTCTAGGGACTGGTAGTAAAGCAGGTAAAACTGTGTGGGGAAAAATATTTTTTATTTAATTGTAGCTTATTTAACAATTATTTCCGGGAAAAAATGAACGACAAAATCCCTGACTAACTTATTTAGGTTGCCGTTCACTTTTTTTGATCTGAATATGCACCGAATGCGAATTATTCCCACTTCTCTCAAATTCTATATGTGAATTTTTATAACTTCCTACCAGCGGAACAGCGCAATCTCTGTGGAAAATGGCCGGACGATATGATGTGAAAATCGGGTCATTACTGTCGAATAAATTCCCATCATTGATATTATTCGTTACATTCGATTTTACGATTCACGCAACGCTTTGCTCTTACTAAGGCAGCGGCCTTAGTCATATGCGTCCGGTCGCCATGAAATGTTTTATGATCTTCATCATTTGGACAATACAAATGGATATTTTGGTTGCTAGTAAACAATTAAAAATAAAACATGCTTGCTTTCGAAATGTATGTGTCGGCCCAATATTAGGGACATTTCGGCCGACATTAGCGATATTAACCCTATGATGAACTTTCACTTTCATCAAAATCTCACCACATTGAGACCTACGTTCCAGAGATATTATTATGTTTTCAAAAATTAGTTTGTATACCGATACCTCTGAAATATAAGCACCAAGTGACATTTCGGAGAAAGGATGTTTATGCTGATGTATTTATTTTTAAAGTTGATTAACACACACATAAGTTACAGAATAGTACATAACAGGCAGATTTCAGCTTTACAAATACTCAAAACGTGATACTGCAAAAGTTTGATAATTCCTAATGAAATGAATAATAGTATGTATGTCGGCTGATGTGAAACAGTGGAACAATAAAGCACTGATGGATACTGAGTTGCCAATTCTCGCGTCACTTTTCAAATAGACCAATGTAACATTTTCGCCATTTTGAGGAAATCGAAGTTCGACAGATTGTTCTTTTAACTGTTTAGAAACAATATTTTTTGCAATACTATTTTACTGTAGTCAGTGAAATATAACGTTGAAAATTTAGTATAAACGGAAAAATCACAATTTTACTTTGTATTTCATCCTACAATACAGAAAAAAACCGCATAGGACGTTTTGATTAGTCAAGTTGCACATCGGATTACAATGGACGTTTTGTTCTACATGATACTAGATTCTCTTTCACAGATTTCAGAATAGAGTACCTAACCTAACCATGTCTCGCCTTTAGAAAATGTCCGAAGTAACAATTACGTACCCATCATTTCAAAATGTACATTGGAAATTTGTGAGCTGTGATTATCTTAAATAAATGAAAGTTAATCTGGATGGGCGATTTTGTTAGAACAGCAATAGTTTGTATCGATTAACTCGATTTGTTTACATTTGTTACTTAGGACTTTTTGAAAAGTTACGCGAGAATTGTGATCAAAAAAGGATTAAATTTCGTTTTATCGGAGCGGAGAAGGGGAATGAGTACCTATATTTTCCATCGACCATGTTGCGAGACCTGAATGGGAGAAGAGATAAAGAACACACGGCAATAGAGAGAAACAAACTGAGAAAAATGGTAAAATTTAATAGAGTAAATTGATCCGGATAAACTTTTCGATCGCTGATTTATTGGTGAAAAATTGCTGCAGATTTATGGTGTCAGTGGTGGTACTCTCTATTTACTAACTGCCACAACGGAGAATCAACCTACTATCTATATGGAGGTAACCTATGTGTGTAGTTTTCGGTGGCACTAGGAAGAAGTGCCAGTGGGTATAGAGTGAGATGTAAAGTTTTAAAATTATTATACGCCATTATATCCAAGGACGAAAGGAAGTTTACCACTGAGAGTGCATTTGTGACTCGACGAGAATCTTGGTGGCAGGTGGTTGGTTTACGAAACGGACAATAAAGTCTACTCTACTTAGACAGTAAATCTTAAACAGAGTGTGTTCTGGAGGCAACCAGGTGGATTTACTTGTGTTGAGGATAGAGAGAGCATATAAGAATGAAAAGTATATTTCCGGACTGAATTGAGATTAGGGCGCAACTGCTTTATTGTAAGCAATGATTCAGTCACCGATTTCTCACAAATAATAGCTCACTCTTACAAACTAACTATACCAGTCATTGCTTATAATAAAGCAGTTTCGCCATAATCTCAAGTCAGTCCGAATTTGTTTTACCACACATATTGGAGAAAAAGAGTTGGGACATTAAAATAATTCTGGCAATAGATGATCAATTTATTCTAAATACGGAAGTTTTTTAAAAGATTTCTTCGCAAAATACCGTAATGGCTCGCCGGCGTGGCGTTTCTATTTTATCCGATCATTTCATTGTTTTGTTCAATATTACATTAACTTTGTAACATATGTTTGATGAACATTTATTTAGAGCAATAAATCAATATTAATCAATTTTTAAAAGTGTTCGAAATAGTGGCCTAAGTGTCCGGATTTCGATGCCTTACGGTGCATACTTCTATATAGCAAACAGGATTTTTCACAATCAAAAGTATGGATCGTCTGAAAGCATGCGCACAGCTGCTGTGCGCTATTAGTCTCCTGCACTCGATTTCTTCATGAGCAAGAGACCAGAAAGAGCACGCAATGATTTAGAGAGACATGCGATGAGGGGGGTAAGAGCGCACAAAAAAGCACAAAGAGAGCACAAGATAAGCTCATCGCGGGAAGACAGGAATAGCAAAACCAGAGCAAAATGATGTACAATTTTACTAAATATCAATAACTATTATGTTATTGGTAAGTTATGCGCCATAACAAGCTTATTCGTCTATCAAAGCATATTTTGCAATTGTTATGATATTTTGGTATCATGAATTCAAACAGCTAATTTTGATTGATGCAAACAACATAGCAATAGCTTGATGAGATATAATAGCAAAATATGATATTAATTTGCTTTTTTTCCTTCCTGGACTCTACCTATCGACCTATCAACTCATGAATCGGAGACGAACAGCTTTGATTTTTGCTTTTCTTTAGATATGGCAACAACTGTCTTTGTTCTTACTCAGTTATGGTCCAATAGCTTTTTTTGATATTATTTTTGATTTTTTATCTCTTATATCAAACAAACTAATAGCAATTTTTGATGTTCTGTTCCCAAATTTTAACAGTAGAACTTGCTATTGATTTGATATTCCCGTCTACTCGGGATTCCATTATCAACAGTTCCAAAATCAATGGTTATATAAATAACATTTTGGATGTTAGTTCCGTAGCATGCAACAGTGAGCCGTCTACATAAAGAGAGTAAAGTAAACTCTCCCACGCTTTTCTTATGGGGAAAGTAAATTAAACTATTTTATTCATACTATAAACTTTAAAAGTTGTTATATTTTGGAAAATAAGCACATTCTGAATTAGCGCACATTTTCCATTAGCACAAGCTAATATCTCATAGTTCATTGCACGTCTTTTGAAGTAGGATTGCGTCTTTCGGGGTGCAATTTCAAAAAACCAAAATCGACCGCGTTACGAAAAGTGATCGGGTTTTGACCACTTATAACTCTGTCAATAGCAGATGGATTTTAATTAATCATTTTGTTCGACCATTTTCCACAGAGATGGCGCTGTTCCGCTGGTAGGAAGTGATAAAAATCCACATATAGAAATTGAGAGAATTGGGAATAATTCGCTTGCGGTGCATATTCAGGTCAAAAAAAGTGAACGACAACCTAAAGAAATTAATCAGGGACTTTGTCGTTCAGTTTATTCCCGGAAATAATTGTTAAACAAGCTACAATTAATTAAAAATGATTTTTCCCCATACAGTTTTACCTGCTTTACTACCAGTTCCCAGAGAGCCAAAAAATTCAAATTTAAGAGAGAAAATTTGCTCTCACGACCCTCAATCTCTCAACATGCCATGTATTTTGTTGACACTCGATTTGTGATTTCCCTTTCACAGATTACAAAATAGAGTACCTGACACTACAAAACATGTCTGGTACATCTATATATGCATTTAGATTAACATTCGAAGTCCCTCCTTTTTTACATATTCTGCACAAAAGATACTTTTTGCTCCACCCCATTCATGAAAAATCGGCGGGAAATTCTGTGAGGGGTGAGCTATTTTGTGTGCAGAATGTGATAAAAAGGAGGGACTTCGAATATTAATCTAAATGCATATATAGAGGTACCAGACATGTTTTGCACTGCAGTGTCCTCTGTGAACAATTATAGGAAAACAGATTGTGTCTATTTTCCGATAGATGTCACCGCAAACAACAGCTGTGACATCTGATGGAACATGAATGCAGAAGCTTGACAAAATGATCAATTCCAAACAAGCCAATCGATTGGAATCGAATCTGCTCAAATGAACACGTTATCAATTTTAGGTCACTATTGAAAATTGCACAAATGTTCAACTGTTGCAATGGTGGTCAAAATCAAAGGAGGAAGAAGCTGCACCGCTACTGATCGGATTCAGTAGCTCTTCGTGAGTCCAAACAACAAACAGGTCGCCATTCTCATCTGTGTTGAACACCCTAATAGCATAGAGGTAACTCTAAGGCTAGTAGGTCCCGAAGAAACGTGCTCAACTTTTTGGCTCAGCTCTGGTACTATCTTCGGTCCCAAGCTAATCGATGCACCCCTCGAAACATGAGGAAATCCACGAACCCCTCATTTTATCTGTCAAACTTTCATAGAGAATCAAAACAAACATAGTGTAGTACTAGAATTCCGACTAGAATGGGATACGTTAATCGTTTGCTTGGGACCAATAGGCTAGTCAAGTAGTGAGCCAATTTCAAATCGATAGTTTCGTATTGATTGTTGCCTATAGCGCAGATTTACTCAACTATCACGACAAAACGGTCCTTTTCAGGACCACCATAAATTTGTTTAACGGTATTTCATTGGAAATTTGGCAAGGTCATCTTGATCTTTATCAATTGGATGTCAGTTCCCATAGGTTTAAATCTAACATACCATGTATTTTTAAGGCAACATTGGGGGTGCAATTAAAACAATCTACGGTCGTGTCTTGGATACAACATCTTATTTTTCTGCCGACCAAACACACACATGTGTGTGTTTACTCGTCTGTTATTTGTCCTATTCGCTATCTCTATCCCACGTAAATTTTTTCTAGAATTGATCAAACAATCTGTATTTTTAGATTTTAGATTTCTTTTCCAATAGTTTTAGAAAAATCAAAACGTATTTTTTCGTGACGGTAAGCATCCCGTTAATGCTCCCCTTAACACAGAGATGAATTAAGTTTTCAGAATTTTTGTCACTTATTTAAAAATCAGGAAAACAAAGATCCAATTTATATAAAAAAAATTCTATTTTGAAAGCTTTTCAAAGTATCTGATATTTTAAATTCTACTGAGTTTCACAATCACAGAAATTGATCGAAGCCCATAAACGCTACTAGGCTAAATCGAGCATTAGGCTAAACTTTTCAAAGAAAAATATTTAAATTTGAAATTGATAGAGAAATTTTGAGCTTGAATTAATTTAGGTCAGGGACAAATTTTCAAGATTTGGGAATAATCTTTAGGATTGTGTTGAGTCAAAAAAAGGTTCTAAAATATGATTTGTTTTTTCATGGATCTATTTTTTTTAAATATGTAGGTACCGTGGAGGAAACTATGACAAAAGGTCAAAAGTCTAAAGGTCGAAAGGACAACATTTCGAAAAGACATAACATCGAAAATACTAAAGGTCGAAATCCAAAACATGATTTTTTTTAAAAGAATGTGTGTAATTTAAAGAAGAGTAAATTGTATTTATATTTTATACATTACAGCTCCCGTATAAAAGAAGGAAAACCCTCTGAAAAATAGTGATGAAAATATAAGCTTTGGATTTCTCATACAGTATGCTAAAAAAGTTTATCCACCCCCCTGCCAATTAACATTTTTTTTTTGTTTTTCTGGTTAAAATCAGTTTAATTTTATTAGTGTTCCTCCATGATTCATCAATTTATGTTTATTTATCGCATTGCCATTGAAAATCCGGCGTTTATATCTTTTCTTGAGATTTCATGTAATAAATTATGAAAAATTGTAAAAAATTACGCAAAAAAAGTTTATCCACCCCCAAACTCATACTATGATTTAAGTGTGTTTTACAGAGTTTTAGTGTGTATTCTGCAACTTTATAGAATGTAAACATTGTGTCTATCTGTCATTTAGTGCTCTTGTAGTTTTCATGCTCAAAATTTCAGTTTCGTGTTCAAAATTGGAAGTTATTTGTTGCAAAATGCCCAAAAAAGCACAAATTTCGATCAGTATCCGAAATTTGATTATTGAACATCACAAAACTGGCAAAAGCTACCGTGATATTGCCGATATTGTCCAGCTTCACAAAGATACAGTCGCTAGAATTGTGTAGATGTACAAAAAGCGGGGTTCTATCTCACCAGCTAAGCGATCGGGGCGTCCTTCAATGACAACTGGCCGAATTGACAGAGCTATCGTGAAGAAGGCGGAGCTGGACCGGGGACTACCAGCTCCGAAAATTGCGAAAC